TGTTAAAGAAAAAAAAAAAAGAAAAAAGAAGATTGTATGAAAACAAACACGACGGAGCATGCCATCCAGTCATGTGAACACACCTGCCCTTCACACATACTTCATGACAACAAGAAAAAGTATACAACGTTACGGGGTGGAAAAGCAAAAAAAATACTTCCGAATCTGTGGCTATAGGATCTCTGTATGATACAAAGCAGTCTAAGCTGACAATTCAACCAGACATTCAATCCAGGGGCCTGAAACAGGATACCTGGGCCAAAGTACAATCTTTTTTTATGGAGAGAACTCACTTGGCAACTTCCTAAACTTTTCGATGTAAACACCAATTGAGTGACATCTTCATTTGCTAAAGCACTCTGATCCATAAACAGTCACCATTTTAACAAAAATACTTGTTTTCACCTTTTTCATAACCTTTGTTATATCTCAGTGCTGCCGGTGTTCTGTCGAAATGGCCAACTCGTCCAGATCTCCACCTCGTAACGTCACGTTTGTTGGAGAGATGCCCGCGCAGGCACACTAACGCAAATTTGAGAATGTGATACTGCTCTTAGGTGGCGCACTGACGGGAGTTGGAGACCTCGACAAGTTGGACATCTCGATAGAACACCGGTCTCCTGCAGCCTCTTTGCAGCAACTTCCTGTATCCAGCAATAGCTGCATGGTATTTCTCAGGGTGGGTTTCCTGATGGTAACAGAGGAGCATGTCTGTATAAAAAGAGGGAAATTTGCAAAGACTGGAGCAGCTGTGCAAGACAACCAATCCTCCCCCTCCCCCCAGGTCTCTATTGGAAACATGTGTAACAGGGTGACAACGTAGGAGCACAACTGGAAGACAAGGACAGAAGGTAGTCACCCTTTAACAGTAAGTATCTAACCAAGAACCTTCAAGGTAGGATCAGTGTTTTTAGTGATTAGGTTTACTGATCTTTAGATGACCAAGATAGCATTAGCTGCATGCTTGTTAGAGTGGACCTTTACCCCCGTCACTAAAAAGCAAATCAGTGTACAGCTCTGCACGCTGGTCTCAAATCATCTTAGATTAAAAACATTTTTCTTTAACTTACAATTATTGTTTTTCCACTTCCTGGCCCTCTTGGGCATTAGTGATGTCATTTGTACATCATTGCATTGCATCCTGGGAAGTTTACATCAGCAGAGCATTGCTGGGAAATCTTATCTGTAGTCTGATGAGATCTCAGGGAAAGGCATTTTCCTCCTCTGAGATGATGTGCATGGTCACATGTCCTAGTCACATGTGCCAGAGTTCCAGGAAGTAAAGGGAGATGGATTTATCTGCCCTTAGGAAACAAAAATAGGTTAAAAAAAAACAAACAAACTTAATTATCTAGAAGTATCTGTGTGTAGATTGTCTTTAAACATTTCTAAGGCTCTATTTACACAGGAGCAGTTGTCTGCGCATATTGGAACGTATGAATACGCACGGAACGACACACAATGCACTTTAAAGTACATTGTTCAGACTTCTGCGCAAACCGTGTGTCCTGCAAAATACCCAAGTGCGATTCTATGACGGATTCCGCACGTTCGCGGCTATAGTAATAGCTGTAAACAAGCAGGCTCTGTGCAGTTGTAAAGATTTCAGCATTTGCGTGCCGTGCGGTCTTCCACATGGAAAAGCGCACGGGAAACACAAACGCTATATGTGAATGGAGCCTGAAAAGGTATTTTCGTTGTTATTTGTAGAGCTGCAGCTAACGATTATTTTCAAAATCGGTTAGCCGATTATTAAGTTCGATTAATCGGTTAAATCGGATAAACAATAAAATACATTTTTAAAAATGGCTCCAGTGATGGACTACTAGTTTGTATTGAGATTGTAGTCCATCACAGGAGCCAGCTTTGGAGCAATGGAAGTAAAAAAAAAAAGTGTGGTGTGCAATATAGTGAAATGGAAAGTTTAAAATTATACAGCAATCAATGCAGAATGGCAGCGGCTATAGAGGACTACAAATCCATTATTTGGATGATATGGGTAAAGTTACTCTTTAAAACAATCCTTTCTTTTTTCAACATTTACTGAAGCTGCTGCCAAATCTGAACTATTTAGCTTATAAAACTCACTTGGCGTCATCACTTATCAAAAACTCTACTCCAGTCTGGAAGCCTATT